GTGAAAGTTTACACAGCAACTTCGGTTCCCACTCCACAAGCCCTACCTAAATCGTTCTGTGACCCGCATCTGTCTTGTCACCCAGCTCTCTCCTCCCGCGTCTGTGGGCTTTACACTGTCGTACCTCACAGCTCCCCTTGACTTGCCTTTTAATCCCAACCCAGAGTTCCGAAAAGACCCTCCCTTTGAGTGGATGTGGCGCTCACTGGATCTGGGATCTTTTTACATTTGCTCAGAGGAACTGTTAGTGTTTCTCAACAGCACCTGCAGGCGCTCTAGCCAAAGAGGTAAGCCACTTTTCCCAGCACAAAGCTTACTTTACCTTTAAAACAGCAATGCTTAAATATTTGGTCTATAAATCAAGATTGGCCTCCTTCTGGACCCTGGGAGCCCTGGTGGCGTAGTGGTTGCACGTTGGGCTGCTAACTGCAAGGTCAGCAGTTTGAAGGCACTAGCCACTCCTCAGGAGAAAGACGGGGCTTTCTGCTCCCATAGAAAGATTTAATCTCTGAAACTCAGAGGAGCAGTCTACAGGACAGATTCGATGGCAGTGAATTTGGTTTCTAGCTCTAACCAGGTGGAAGGTTCAGCTGTGATTTCTCAGGAGACTCTATCAGAAAAATACAAGAAGGTTTGCCAACCACTCTGTGGCAAATGCTGTGCACAACCCCACACAGTGGTATCTCATCTGTCTTTACCACAACCATCCCCTCCACTTCACACACACACACTCCACGGCTCAGAGAGGGGTTGAAAGCACACAGTACACCTGTGGGGCTCACTCTGTACCATCCTGGACATATAGGTCACATGGGGGTGTCCTTTGGAATGGCGATTCCCCCTGCCTAGATGTGGCCACTCCCAGAGCAGTATGGACATCAACCAGCACACTTAGGTTTATCAGGAAGGGCTAGATAACTGGCCCACCTAGCTGTGTGAGCAGACAGGGTGGACACCAAGGTATGGGGGGAAAGCTGCCACACCCTGTCCCCAGCACATCCGTCAGAACTGCTGGGTAAACTCT